TGAGAATCTTGTCAGCTTCTTTGCCAATATTGGGCCGAACTTAGCTAAAACAATTTTGCTGAACTCAACAAGTTTTGATTTTTATTTAAAAAGATATAATACGGACGATATGGACGAATCTAATCTTAAAGTTTGCGAATTGCGAGATGCTTTTAATAGCCTTTAAAAAAATAAAAGCGCAGGTTTTGATCAAGTTAGCGCTAACGTTGTAATATATGTATTTGATGTCATTGAAACATCTTTATTACAAATCTTTCTTTAAAATCAGGTTTTGTTCCGGATAAGTTAAAAATTGCCCGAATCACACCAATATTTAAGAGTGGAGATGACTCAAACGTTTCAAACTGCAGACCGATTTCAATCTTGCCTTGTTTCTCAAAGATACTTGAGCGTATAATGTACAACAGGTTTTATGATTATCTAACAAAAAACGATATGTTGTATAAAAAACAGTTCGGGTTCAAAAAAAAAAGCATACAACCAAACACACAATATTCGAGCTTGAAAACGGACGCCCTAAACAACGATTATTTTACATAAGGAGTTTTTATTGATCTGTCCAAAGCTTTTGATACATTAAACCATGATATACTGCTAAATAAACTTGAACATTATGGCATTAGAAATAAAAATTTACTTTTGTTTGAAAACTATTTAAGAAACAAAAAACAACTCATATGCTACGATTCAAAAGAAACAGTTAAACACTCAACAACTTGTGGGTTTCCACAAGGTTCAATTCTACGGCCACTCTAGGGCCACTGTTCTAGGGCCACTGTTCTAGGGCCACTGTTGTTTCTACTGTACATAAATGATCTTTATTTATCATCAAATCTTATAAATTTTATTCTATTTGCAAATGACTCTAATCTCTTTTATTTGCACAAAGATATTAATACACTTTTTAAGCATGTTAATGAACAATTAGATAAAGTTAATGAGTGGTTTGTAAGTAACAAACTTTCTCTGAATGCTGATAAACCAAAATTCATTTTGTTCCAAAAATTGAATAAAACTGATAACATCTTATTAAAATAACCAAATCTTATTATAATTATTTATATAAGCTATAATTAAAAGATAATCATTGGTAAACTTTTTAGGCGTTGAATTGGACGAAAATTTAAGATGATATTTTCATAAAAACAGCCTTGAAAAAAAAAAATAATAATAATGGAATGATTTATAGATTTTAAATCACTAAAAGGTTGATACTTTTCTTTTATTTAAAGTTACCTAACATACTGTAATATGTATTCAAAGTTACCTAACATACTGTAATATGTATCCAAAGTTACCTAACATACTGTAATATGTATCCAAAGTTACCTAACATACTGTAATATGTATCCAAAGTTACCTAACATACTGTAATATGTATCCAAAGTTACCTAACATACTGTAATACGTATCCAAAGTTACCTAACATACTGTAATATGTATCCAAAGTTACCTAACATACTTTAATATCGCCTGGGCAAGTACCAATGATACAAAATTAAAAAAGCTTTACAGTAAACAAAAACATGCATATCGAATTATAATTGGAGCGAATAGAGCAGAACCCTGTGAGCCTTTATTGTGTTTACTTTGAGCTTTAAATATTTATAAAATAAATTTACATGAAATTTTAGTTTTTTTGTATAGAACTAAGCCAATAGGAGCCATAAATATAGCACAAGATTCTCAGTAAACAACTTTACTGTCCCAAAAATTGAGTTCGCACTCAATTAAGTATCGTGGGCTGTATTTATGGAATTTATTTTCAGATATTAAAAATAAAAATAAAACCACTATAATTGATTTTAAAAAGAACCTAAACAGTTGTTCTTATTTATGGATCTTACTATGCTAGATTGTTTTTTATGCTAGAATGTTTTTTTTTAAATAAAGTAAAGCTTTAATAAAAAATCAAGATAACTTAAAAAAAAAATTATTTTAAAAGAATGTTATTATCACAACCCACAACAACAAAGTTTATTAATGATATTACTGTCATGTATATATCTTTTTTTTTTTTTTTTTTTATCTTATTCTATTTTATTACAAGTATATAATCGTTTTTTTTTTTTTTTTTTTTTGTAACTGCAGCTTCATTCTTTTCCTTTTTGCAACTGCAAATAATGTAAGCATTTTAGCAATAACGCCAATATAATCACGATTTTATAAAAATGGGGCTAGGTGATAAGACAAAATTATGTCTTCTTGTTGCTCCAGCCTTAACTTATTTTGTTGTATATATATGAAAATTATATTTATTGTAGAAGGCAAAATATATATAAAAAAAAATAAAACAAAAATAAAAAAAACACAAAAAAACTGTATCATTTTAGTCTTAAGATAAGTAAACTCTTTTTGAACTTTTTAAATTTATTTATTTATTTTTATTTTAGGTGCCTAAAGAAGTCCGTACGGTCTTATCACAAAGCACCGCAGAAGAGCATTTGAAGTGCACGCCTCCTTCTTTACCGATGTTATAAAACAAAAAGTTTTAAAATAAAACTTGCCCAGAGGAGGCGTTGAACCACGGATCTCTTGCTTCTGAGGCAAGCCCGCTTACCTAGCGGTACAGTTGCCAATTATTGCAACTTCTATTTAGCAAGAACATTTAGAAGATCGCAAGAAAATGTCATCTGGTTTTTTGTTTTCCATTAGTTAAATCATTTGATTATGGAAGATAACACATATAGTATAATATGTTAAATGGAACAATACGGTTCTAGTAGCTACGTATAAAGTTTACACGTAACTACTTGAACATGATTGTTCCATTTCATGTGGTTCATGTGGCACTAATATTTTTATATTAAATGATATTGTTTTAAGATTTTTATCTGTTGTGCAAGTAAATACCGATTAAAAAAATTTGACCAAATGATTAATACATCAATTTCATTTTGCAAATTAATTCAGGAGACGTGACTAAGTTTATCGAAGTTCTTAGCTAATCTAATTTCGGCGTCTTTGATAATTGACAAGTTTTAGCTTTGCGACTTTTTTAATTGTTAGAAAAAGAAATTTCTTTTAATTGTTTTTTTCATCTAGAATCTACCATTTTTATTTTCTAGAATTTACGTTTTATTTACTAGAATCTACCATTTTAATACTGACAATAAAACAAAATTTTACGAGAAAAGTTTAAATTATTGAAACTTTTGAATTAAGTAGAAAGTTAAGTTTTTTTCATATATTCAGATCAAAGGAATCAAAAAACAAATGAAACAAAAAACAAATAGCAGTTCTAAGGCTCAAATGCAATTTAGGCTTTAGATTTTTTTTTTTTTTTTTTTAATTGTTTTAAACTTTTAAAACAACTATATGTTTTAAATTTGTACACATTCAGAAAAAGTTAGTTAAATGTAGATTGTTCCAGGTTGTAAGAGTACTTGGTGGAATGTTCCAGGTTGAAAGAGTTTTTGGTGAAATTTGAAAGGTTTTCGAAACCTTTTTTTTTTTGTTTTTCTTTTCTCCAAAATCCAGAGGAAGCTTAGTTCTTCTGATTGTTTTCTTTAATTAATCTTTTTGATTTTTTTAAATAAGAGAATTTTTTACGCTAATCGTTTTTCGAATTATTTACGCTAATCGTTTTTCGAATTATTTATGCTAATCGTTTTACGAAAGCTCGAAATATAGTTTGAAAAAAAAGTTCAATGATATAACGAGCTTTTTACTTTTCAAAAATTAAGAAAGTTTAATTAACAAAATGAATCTAAGAAGCTTACGGGTCTCAGAAATCCATTCTAATTAAGGAGGTTTTTTGAATTATATAGAGTAGAAAGTTCAATGTCAGAGTTTTTAATGACATTTCATGGTTTGCAGTTAAAATTGAATTAAAAAGATATTCAAATTAGGAAGATTATAATTAGAGAGATTGTACTGTAGAGCTTCGTTTCCAATAATTGTAGAAATCTTTTACTATAGTTGTGAGTTTTTTTTGTACAACAATTGTTACTGAAATTGATTTTTTTCCTATTTCTGCAACAATGGTTTTACGGTATAAACTTTGTAACTGACGTTAAGGTGTGTAACTTACGCAAGAAAATGTTTCCATTATAAAACACTATTGTTGTACAACTGTTGTGCGACAATTCTACAACTATTAGAAATCAAGCATATGTTATTTAAAAACGGAGTTTTTAAATAACATATGCTTGGTTTCTAATAGTTGTAACTCCATCATTCCACCATCTGGTAAAAAATGTCAAAAGTAAGAAATAGTTTTATATAAGAATAACTGAATCAATAGAGTTGGAAATCAATTAAAAAGCTGAACAATCAAGTTTCATTTTTAGTTTTTAATAGTTGCAAAGTATTGACATTAATTAACATTTGACACTCATGAAAAAAAAATTAGAAACACATTCTGTTGCTTTATTATATATTAGTTTTTTTAATGAGCATTTCAATGTTTTTATTTATACCATTGTTCATTTACTATATTGTTTATCAGCTGTTCACCTTTTCATCTTTCTGTCGTAGAGAATGGGTTTTCTGAGATTTCCTCAACTAAATATAGCTTAGTAAATATGCATCATAAGAAGGATGCATATTATATGCTTAAAGAATGATAGCCTGGGAATTAAAAAAATAAATTCCATCTGCCATAAACTTTAAAATTCCATTATTCCCTTTTCCCATTAAATCATGCGATTTTGAGGAAGAGTGAGGTTTCTTGCGAATATTGTTCAGTAGATGAGAGCTTTCATGCAGATAACAAAACATATAGGGATAAAAATATCTTGTAGAGTGCAAAACTTGAACGAATTGATTTTTTTTATTTATAGTATTTAAATGATTTTGATATGGACTTTTAATGTTTTAACTCGAACCTTAGTTTTAAACCGGATGGAGTAAATTATATTTAAACAAAAATTTAAAAAAAAAATTAAATGTTGTAACTTATAAATAAAAAAAATTAAAAAAATTAAAAAAATTTGAATAATTAAAATAATAAAATAACAGCTAATTTCAGTTTTTTAAAATTTTTAAAACAAACTTACTTTTAGTTATTAAGTAAGCTTCGGCTTTGTAAATATAAAAACAGATTTCCAAATTGAAAATCGATTTGCTCCATTATCAATTTAAAACAGTTTTTCTATTTGATGTCCACATGTTTTACGCTGAACTGATGTATGTGGTGTGGAATTGTTTTCATAAAAGTCGCCAACATTCAGCATCGTAACTAAGGCGAAACCATCCGTGCGTAACTTATTTACTGAATACCAGTGCTAATTTATCACAGAAGAAAAATACATTTGAAATAAATTATTATATATATTGTGTTACTTGTATATAGTTTATGAATACGTATTATATACATGCATGGGTCTTTTAAAGCTCAGATGAGACCTGGGGTAAAAAACCTTTTTACTTCCAGACGGTAAAGTTCATTTAAAACTGTGTCTATTTCTTATAACAGCCATCAACTTTTGTTAAACTTGTCACACACAAAAAACAGACATAAATGAGCTGGTGAGTACCAGCATGGTCAAAGTCAAAAAATATATAATTAATTGAGATAATTCAATATTTATAATTGCAAAACATCATTCTGTTAAATTATAGACTGGTGTATAATTATGGTGGCCAATCATCCTCCTTTAGGTAGGATTAGTACTTCCAATACCGATAGTACCGACAACGGAATACCGGTATTACCGTACAAAGTATCGAAAAACCAGTATTGGTTTAGCTCAATACCGGTATTAAAAATGTATGTAGAGGGCATGTGATATAGCGGAAGCGATTGCTTTCATTTACTTGAAAGTAAATGAAATGTTCAAAACTTTCAGTCGCGATCAACAACGCTGGTTCTTTTTGTAATGAGAGTATAAAATCACGCTCGCTAAAGAGTTTGCGTTGGAAAAAATAAGTTGATTTATTAATTTTTTATTAAAAAGTTATTGTTTATTTATTTATTTTCTGATTTATTTGCATTTAAAGATAAGAAAAATAAGAAATACAAAAAGGTAATAACAAAATTACTCTTATGTAACACCGACAAAAAAAAAAAAAAGTTAAAATGTGCAATGGTGAAGAACACTGTACAAGAACACTGTACTTTTTTAAATTTAATTTGAACAAAGACAAAGTGGACGAGTAAACAATATAATCAGATAGAGAATTCCATATCTTGATAATTCTGTCACAGTAGAAAAATATTTGTGAATCATTTTTAAACTTAATACATGAATAAAGTTTTGTGCATGACATCTTGTAGGATAGTAAGAAGGAGCAAATTTAAAAAAGTCAGAAAAAGGTAGATCGACAAGGTTGTGTGTAATTTTATAGGTCATTACAAGATCAAATTTTATTCTACGGTATTCAAGGGATTCTAGATTGAAAATATTGAGTCTTGAAGAACAATCTTTATAAGGAATACAATATCCATTACAGACAATTCTAGTAAAGGATTTCTGAATCTTCTCCGACCGGCGTATATCTTTAAAAAGATGGGGATTCCACATAGAGGTACAAGATTCTACGATAAGACTCTGATCAGAAGTTTAAAATTGATTTTAAAAGTAAGTAGGAACAAGAATGTGCCTTGCTTGCAATAAAAGAACAGTGATTAGAAAATTTCAAATTCGAAAATACTACTATACCAATATCTTGAATTGAATTAATAAATTCAATAGGTGTAACAATCAGGGCCTTTCCGAAGAAGGGGTGTCGGGGTCTCACCTCCTCTCCCCTAAGCTGTATTATAAGCATTTGAATTGGCACATTTAGCAAGTTTTAAACTATTGTTGGCAAATTGCAAACATTGAGGACCTTTCTCTGGTATGTTGATTGAGTATGAAATTAAAGGTAATGAACTGTTTCCATAGCGTAGATGAAAATATTTTTTAGCGAACCTTTGACCATTCTGAAAACTTTTTTAAGGTATTGATGAGTTGTATGTTGTTTCCATCATTACTTGATTGATATAACTTGCTGTCATCAGCAAACAACTTAATGCTGCAATCATCATATTAATTTAACCATCAATACATGAAGTTACATCATTTATAAAAACTAAAAATAAGATGGGTACCAAAACAGTCCCTTGAGGTATTGCACTCTTTACAAGAATTTTTTTGAATACGAGTTACCAATGCAAATACATTGAGAACAATTCATGAAAAAATTGGTAATCCAGGTTAGCAATTTATACTGGATATAAACGACATAACAATGCCGTTTGAACAGTAACTTAGAGTGATTCACAGAATCAAAGGCTTTCTCAAAGTCTATATATACAATATCTACTATCTTTTTGTTATTAGCAGCAGTGGTCCACTCATTTAAGGTTGTCAACATTTGTGTACAGGTGGACCTACGGTTTAAAAAGCCAAATTGATGAGCAGTAATAAGGTTATTAATTAGTAAATAGTTTGTAATGCATTCTGTAAGTATTAACTCCATAACCTTATGTCATAGAAATAGGTCTAAAGTTTGTGGTTAACGAAAAGGTTTCCTTTCTTATAGATGGGGCACACTCTAGCGGTTTTCCAGATTAAAGGTATGACATTTTTTGACATTAGCAATTCAAAATAGTATAAAAAAAAGGAATAGCAATAGCATTTGCGATTGATCTTAGAAGTATTGCTGGGATCCCATCAGGCGATTTGATATATAATTAATATTTGATATATAGTTAATATTTATTTATAAAAATATTTAGTTAAAGATAATAATTGTTTAACTTAAAAGTAAAATTTTGTTTTCCTTATATTAACAAAACACTGGTTTAAAAAATTATCATTACATCACTCGCTTTAATGTAGAACTCATGTTTGTGTATTGCACTAACCTATAATCTTCTCCCTATTCCGCCAGCGTTTCTTCTAATAGCGGTTCTGCTGAAAACGCTGTAAACTTGTCATTGAAAGAAAAGCTCGACTTTGCAATATTGAAAAATAAGAAATGTAACAACAAAGTAAGATTGAATGTTTCGAATAATTTATCAAAAATTATATGTAATGAGAAGGCAGTTTTTGAAGAAGGAAATCGTGGCAAATATTTTCAAAATTGCTACGAATACTTGAAAACTGTAAAGCTAACAAGTGTTGAGTCGGAGCGTGGATTTTCAGCAAGTGGCAAAATTGTCACAATATTACGATCTTCTCTTGAGAATGATACTCTGAACGCCCTCTTGAATGATACTCTGAACGCCCTATGTTTCTAACGCCCTATGTTTTTAACGGGCTTATTTTACAAAAGAGAAAAAGGCAAAAAATTAAATAAAAGTCAGTAATTTTGATATAAAATAAATAAGTTTAATGAATCAATAAAATTTTTACTATTAAGGTGAGATTTTATTCATATTATGATAAATTAAAAAAAAAAACGTTTTAAAACCAGTATTATACCGGTATTACCGCTATTGAAATTATTCAGTACTGAAGTACCGCTATTGAAAAATGGTATTGGTATTGGAAGCACTAGGAAGGATAATCCTCCTTTTTAAGGTTCTGTCATAACTTGATTAGTATCCTCCCATTTATAATTTTTTTTTTTTGATGTCATAAAACTAATTTTGATGTCTTAAAACTAATGGCAACTAAACTAATTGATTTCTGACGAGTTGAGGTCATTTACCCTTATTTATCGCTTTAATTCACTATTAACTGCTGGATAATAAGACCATGTTTTCTGCCAGCTCCGGTCGAAACTTTAATGCTATATTTTTATGTTGTAAAAACATCGTAAAAAATTATTTATTAATGATGAAAATATTTAAAAAAAAGAAAATTTTCTAATTAAAAACACACACTTAATACTAGTTAAACCTCTTCCTTTGATGAGGTTTAACTAACACTGTTAAGTGTGCTTTTTTCCTTTGATGAGGTTTAACTAACACTGTTAATTGTGCTTTTTTTAATTAGCAAATGTTTTAATCAACTAATAACAATAGGTATATTTTATTCTTGAACTCATAATTTTCATTATAATAATTATGTTTACATTATTAATATTTTACTTCATATCACTAGATACATCAGCTTCACTAAGTAAACTTTTTTAAATCTTTTAATTATTCTGAGAGTGTAAAAAAGCTGTCCGAGAGAGACCATATTAAAATTTAGAATTAAAGTGTTAGAAGTAAATTCATGATAAAGTTTAGTAAAATTTTGGTATCGCTAAATGTTCATGCGCTAGGAACAAAATGTGAAGCATTTTGTTGAATCAGTAATTAAAAATTACTGTAATAAAGATTGCAAAAGATTAAAAAAATGCAAGATTTCTAACAAACAATGCCACAAATCACAATGAAACTAAATTGTATCCAATATAAGTAAGGTAATATAATGTTACCAAGAGAATTTACGTAAACATTTTAAATTTAGAATCTAAATTTGTGGGCAAAACTCCTGATATTTTTGTGAGGGAAACTCCTGACATTTTTGTTGAAACATAATAATAATGATAGTAATAAATGTAATAAAGGTAATAAATAAAAACATGCACTAGTTCAAATACAAATTTTGTTGGGCAATAAGACAATAAATAAGAAAATATTCGGTGCTCTCTACAAAAGAAAATATTCGGTATTGGTTGCAATGCATATTTTTTGTAAAATGCAAACAACACAGTATCATGTAAATTGCCCATTGATGTAAAAGTTATAGTGATCACAGTTTACATGTTTTAATTTTTGCGTAGCTACTTTAAAACAATTTTGCAAAGAAGAAAATGTTGAATACAAAAAACGAAAAATAATATTCAAAAATTATATGGCTTACTCTAACACCTGCATACACCTGCGTGCTTAAACTTATTTGAACTTCTCGGTTCATATTTTTCAAGTTTAGAAAAAATGTCTAAAAGTTTTGAAACTTTTTTTTCAATAATGAATTATTAACGATATTTATATAATTTGTACAAAATAAGGCAACTTTATTTCACAAAATACTTTATTTCACAAAAATATTAAAACTAATAATATATTTGTTTCAGAGGTTGAGGTTAGAGGTTGGAGATTAGAAGTTAGATGTTAGAGGTTAGTTCTTATTTTGAACGATTTTGAAATGTAAATCTAAAAATATAAATAAAAAAATAAAAAAAACGATTTTAAATAAAAAATTATTGAAGTTTAGAAGAAATCTAGGATCAACTTCGGGAGTAAGTGATATTTTTACCAAAGAAATGCAAATTTTTTACTAAACATGCTT